GAGCCGCGAAGCGCAGTTTAAACCGGATGTGACGTCATTTTTTGTTGGATGATGCCTATACGAAAATTTCGGGAGTCTTCTGCCCCGCCCCTGGGAACATGTCATAATTAATTACTAATAGCAAAGAATCAAGTTCCACAACAAAATCAACCATCTGCAGTGTTTATAGATATCCTTGAAATAATCCAGCATAAGTTTCCCCAAAGTGAGATCGAGTTCTCACAAATTCAGGTATGGCTAACTTTTCGCCTATTGAACTGCCATCTGTAAAGATATCCCATTCCATTCCATTGCAGCAGACACGAGTACCCATTAGGTGCCTATTTTTTTCTTAGTGGAAAAGGATGATTGGGAGACTGGGAGTGAGCGAAAGGGCGCAAGCGGGAGCTGGTAGCAATGATTCCCGAAGACGAAGTGGACATTGGTGAATATTCACCAATGTTCACTAAGCCTGAGGCGAATAACTGTTTTGGTATAATAAAACATAAAAACACAGACGCATCGTGTGCATACAGAGGGGGACATTGGGGTTTGCGGTATTGCGGTATTGGACAATTTTTCTTGCGGTATTTCGGTAATTTTAATTTCGAAATGCGGTATTGCGGTATTCTCCGAACCTGCGGGATGCGGCTTTTTAGCATTTCGGACGGTATTAAAACGTCTCCTCCTAGTCCTCCAACGTTTTCCGAGCCTTTTCCAGACACTCCCAACTCATGGTAACGGTAAACTGCAATTCCTTTTGTCGCAATCGTAAAGGGTTTTGTTATTTTTTGTTAAATATTAGCCAACCACGCCAATGGATGTTACTTATTCTGTCTAAACCGAAAATTACTTGTCCTAACGTTCATTAACAAATTTTTAACTGTTATTTCTGTTTTGTTTGCTCTAAACGTTAACATACAGTGTAGTGGTTTCGGTATGACACCGCGTTTCCATTTGATATTGAAGTATTTCGGTATTTAAGGATTTTTTTGCGGTATTGCGGTGTTCAGAACCCCCCAATGTCCCCCTCCATACACGTATGCAGCCCGTTTTAATAAGAAGCTTACATGTACATAGATTGTGAATCAATTTACTCATCAAGTTCAGCAGTAACATGAACAAGCGAAACACTACGCAAAATAAATTCATCCGGCAGTACCTTTGTTTTATCATAGTTCACTTCATTCACAGTTGTCATCATGGTCTAAAAATGAGCAGCTTTAGTTTGACGAAAAATAAATTTGGGTTCTTCGATCTGACCTCCTGGTGATCAACAAAACCACTGCGTTTACATTTATGATTCTCAAATGCCTTGAATACGAGTTCTTGAAAAGCTTGTGGGTCTAAGGGCGACAGCAGTCAATTTGAAAATTATCCATCATTTCAAATATCCTGGACTTGGAGTGATGTCTTTCAAATAAATGAAAATTTCATTCAGTAACAGTGTCCGTCATGTTTACTTGCTGAGATGAATATTAACCTCGACTTCGTCCTAGTGAATATTCAATTTCTTGCAAATGAAAGCTGCATTAGTGGGATGATTAATACTGATGGAATACCATTATACAAATCTGCACATGTAAAACTATGGACAATTTTTCTTCAATTAATGAAATTCTCCTTCGATAGCAATTTTCAAGGGAGAACATGGTTTTCATTGGGATTTGGTAAGGTGAAGGGTCTCCACCATTCTTGCAATATATGAATAAATTTGGGGAGGAAATGTGTAGCAGGTAATTTGGTTACCATAATGGTTGGCATATTTTTAGGGATAGTTGATCTTCAAGCTAAGTCAAATATTTTGCATGCTCAATGGGGAAAGTGGATTTTGTACCTGTGGAGAACCAGGGAGAAAAAAACAAGGGACAGGTCATACTAGGTGCTACCCTCACAGAGAACCCAAGGAGCGATTTCCTCTTAGGGACTCTGATGACATTAAATATAATCTTGGACCAAAGGCATTACTGCTAGGGGGACTAACATCTATGCCATGGTTTGACGTAGTCCTCGGCATTGTCCCAGATTATAGGCATGGAGTTCTAATGGGTATCACCAAGACATTACTTAGTAAGTGGTTCTCACCTCCTAAGAGTAACAACCAATTTTTGTTCGCAACAATTTAACTAGTAATGATTTCTCAAAACATAAGCAGGCGAATATTAAAGTTAATAGCCAACGCTTTGGCGTCATCGTGACACCATTCTCAAGGCGAAGTGAAAAATTAATGCGCAGATTTGATTTCTATACTATACAGTTTCTACAAATTAGCATAATAACAAAGGATCACAAGTTCTTCAAGTGAATACCTTTGCACGAATCGAGTCTGTTTGCATGTTTAGA